GTCTTCACTCTCCCACTGACACCTACTGACATCCCACTGGACTACTTGTTTGGCCTACAAATAGCAAAACCATAAGGATTTGCATAGTAACCTATTTTTATGACTGCCAATGAAATCTGAGTATTGTAAGATGACTAATTTACTGATATATAAATGCAGCTTGCAAGTGTCTCATATTTTTTGGTTTGAACTCAGAATTTGTGTTTAAGAAATCCAAGTATAATGAGAGGGGCAGTGGATATTCTTATGGTAGGAGCTATCTCATGCCTAACATGAAATTCTCTTCCTGTCATCCATCATATTCATCAAATAAATCTTATTCAGCAGTTATATCCATCCTAAAAGCATTTTTGAGCAACTGAAGTACACCAGGGACATAGAAATATAAGCATACACTAAGTTCTATGAACAAGTGGAATATCCAATAGCCTCTAGAAAGTGTTTAAATCAGAGGGACACATAATTCAAAAGGGCTATCAATTAAGAGCATGGGTAATCCTGATATTAGGTTGGGCAAACTGCAATTTTAGAGAAGATATACTCCCTCCAAAAATTCAAAATATGAGAGTACACTAATGTAAACATTATAAAGAACATATTGAGCAAGTATCAAGCAAATAAAAGATGCCTCACTAGTTGTGTGCCTTGTGCCTGGCAGGGTCTTAAAAAAAACTTTCAGAGCCAGGTGCAGTGGCACACGCCTGCAATCCTAGTGGCTCATGGGGCTGAGATAGGAGGATGGCCAGTTCAAAGCTAGCCTCAGCAACTGCAAGGTCCTAAGCAACTCAGTGAGACCCTGTCTCTAAATAAAATACAAAATGGGGCTGGGGATGTGGCTCAATGGTTGAGTGCCCCTGAGTTCAATTCCTGGTACCCCCCTTCACCCGCCCCCCAAAAAAAGATAAAAAAAAAGAAAAAAACTTTTCTGAATTATTGGGAATGTAAGAGAAAGGCAATAGAAAGTTGTGTCATGAACTATCCTTATTTGAAGGAGTGATATCAAAAAGAAATTTATCATAATTCTTCATAAATTTCTGGAAGGCTTCTAGAATTTTAATCACAAAAGAGGTGTTCAAAAATTACATGTTTAATTAAGATTCTAGATCTATTTGTTACATGCAATGATACTCTGCTGACCATTCCTTTCTGGATTAATTCAAATTTTTGATGTCCTTTATAAAATGCTATGCTCAGGATTGATCTCAATTTGATCCAACCTTACACTTACTCAGTTATTTCTGTGCTGGGGATCAAGTCCGCACATTGTGCTAAGTAAATGCTCAACCACTGAGCTGTATCCCGGCTCTGATCCTGTTGTCATTCTAACTAAGACAAACATCTTTTTTAAATACCTGTATTACTCATTGGAAGTTTATTTCATGTGGTTGTCCGGTTTCATCTGGACATAGAATATTAGTTTCATCTGGGGAAGAATCTTGTCTCTATTTTGGACATTAATAACTGTCAATATATTAAAACTCAATAATTGATGGTAAAACTGGAAATGATGCTAGAGATCAAATGATAGAGTCCAAAATTAGGGCTAGAGAGTGACTTGTGATATCTATGGCAGAGTCAAGACAGAAAAAATATATAATTTATTAAATTAAAAATATATGAGCCCTTGATTTCTAACTAAGATACATATGCATTTTTTAAACTTAAAATTGCTTAAATGCTGTTTGATGACTCATAGCTCACTTGACTGATCTCATGCTTTGTGTGATTCTTGGTTGTGAAAGGCCTCTACTGACTTTGATGGCTTCTCTCTCCTGAGACTTTCAAACAGAGCAAAGAGTGTGACAAATAAGGTAACTTTTTTCTCTGTGAATGATTCATCACATGAAAACCTTATTTCAGAAACTGGCCAGTACAACTGAAATAAGTGAGCAATATTCATTTATCTAAAAGTTCCTGTGTTTTAAAACTTGTTTTAAAAAATCATTGACTTAAAAATCAATTTTACATGATAAGAATTTAGATGCTGCAAGTAAATCTTAAAGGAGGTCTATAATTCCATTGATAAGTCATTTTTATTTGCTTCCCATTGCAGCTATGTCTATAGCATTCTTTTTATTATTAAAATTAGCCTATAGACAATTTGTTGCAACTATAAAAATCGTGCCAGAATTTGAGTTTTTGGTCAGTGCCATGCTTTCATTTTATTATTAAAGTCGTGGCTTTGTCTTTTCCTCCTTTTGAAAGGTAGAAATATTAATGGTGGGCTGGGGATGTGGCTCAAGTGGTAGTGTGCTAGCCTGGCATGCGCGGGGCGCTGGGTTTGATCCTCAGCACCACATAAAAATAAAATAAAGATGTTCTGTCCACCGAAAACTAAAAAATAAATATTAAAAAATTCTCTCTCTCTCTTTAAAAAAAAAGAAATATTATTGGTAAGAAAATCATCAGTTTTGTCTTTTAAAATCAATTTTATGGTAAATTTACCTATGTAATTTATGGTGTTTTATAAATGTATTTATAATATATATGTATATGTACCTTTATATACATATACATTATCTGGCAATAAGTTATGTTTTATAAATATATACATACATATATAAACATATACATACTTATCTTATATGTTTATTTAACATAGTGTATACATTTATATATTTATTAATATATATTTATATACACACATAGCATGTGGAAATAACTTTGGCCTGTATTCCTTATTAGATCAAACTGCTAGATTACTATAACTAAGCTAAAAGAACTCAGATAATTTTATATATACCATACTCACAAATTAGTTTCTTTAGAAGAAAGTAAAGGTAGATTTTGTGAAGTAAAATCCACAGTGTTATTACATTGGAAACCTCTGTTTATCTCTATAGATGTTCCTGATAAAGAACATCTTAAATTAAAAATTATATATAATATAATTAATAAATCTGAAATATCAGTCTGAAAATGTTTGTCATCTGTCTTTGAAACAAATTAGGTTCTTAAATATTAGTGTAAAATTCATTGATATTTTTATATTAACATAATGACTAAAACTTTATTTGAGTTTGGTTAGATCTAGTTACTTAAAAATCATCAAAAAAAAAAAAATCATCAAAAACCACAAAACCATGAACTTTTAGAAAGTTATGTAAGGCATTATATTTGTACATGCTACCTGTGCATGAGTTCATTTAATTAATTAATTTAGGTGACTTTATGCTTCACTGAGTATTAATTAAATATAATTGCATATGACCAGTAAACTTAAGTGTAATTTATTTTTTTAAACTTTAATCTGGCTTTAAATTTTGAAATTAATGAGTCCTCACTTGCATAATATATATTTGGTAGCCTATTTTAACCCTCAGATGTAAATCAAATCAAACAAGGAGGACCAGATAAGCTAATATTTTTTAACTTGGTGTAAACTGTATCATTTAGCCTTATGCATGCATTAGTTTAATTTAGTTTGCTGTTAATCATCATTATCATTATCTTTTCCTTGTTCATTTAAACATGTTTACAAGTTTCCTGTTTTACAACCTAAATTCTCCATGCATCCTAAGTAAGAATTTGATATTCAGTGTTATGAAATTTAACCACAGAATAAAGTAAACTAGAATAGTATTTATAGCTTTATACTGCATGCCTAAGATGATATGCCACTTGAAAAGCAGTTGGGCATATCTTTATTTGTAAACCATTATTTAACTTAGGGGTATTCTAAAGTCTAAACTAATTAAAACTTTTGTAGCATTTCATTTTCTATTTTAAAAAATCATGCATTAAAACAAGGAGCAATAAACAGATTGTTGGCTTTATAATAAGTGATTAAAAGTATATGTGAAAGTACATGCATGATGTTTTAATTCATGGGTAGATTTTCATATGCTACATATAATATACACATAAATAAGGCAATCTGTGTGTATGGTACTAAATTCAATATTGGTAAGTTTGCTCTATTTATGCACCATAATAAGCTGAACTTTGTTTTAGGAAAATAAGTTTAACATTATTATGATTATGATGTGCATGCTGGGGAACAAACCCAAGGCCTTGTTAACGGTAGACAAACAAGCACTCTATCACTGAACTATACCCCCAGTCTTATCAATATTCTGTAAACATACTTCAGTGCACACTACCAACTTTCTATGAACTATTGACTCTTATCATGAAAGACATGTTTCTAACCATTAGCTATGCTTTTTTATTACAACATTTCCAAATGTAAGATGAACATTTGTATTTTATAGAACTCAATAAAAATGATTATCCAAGAAAATAAATTTCATGAGTTATATTTTCTGTGATTTATGTTCAGCATTCAGTATTTGGGTTGAGAATGAAGTGCCATTTCAACTCATCAAATTCCCAGGTCTCACATATCACAAGATGAGATTAAATATATATTTATATTATATATATATATATATATATATACATATAATGTATATGTATCTATATATGTATGTCATATATATAGATAGATAGATATACATACTATATATGTCTATATATATGTATCATAAAATTTCCTTGTAAAATGGCAGATCTATTCACTGGAATGGTTACTTTTAGGATATGAAGCTCAAAGCATGTTTGACTGAATAATAAGAACATTTTTTGACAACCAGACTTGACATGGATAACTGTTCAGCGATTCATCTCCTTCAGTTCTCCATCGTTTTCCTCTAAGTGGTTACTCCCTGTGGATCTATACAACAAGCATTACAGAGGGTCACAGAAGTATTTTTAAGCACTCCGATTTCATAGTGTATGCTTGATGGACAGAATAAAATGTATTCCTTCAGCTGTTCCAGAATGAGGGCAGGGGGTAAGATAACAGGAGAAGCAAAGGCAAGACAGAATTAGATCTCAATAAATGCTACAAACTTAGAGTACTTTTACCTCTAATTCTTTTCCTTTCCTACAACTGTTAGTTTCCTCCTTAATTTCTAACCAGCCGTTAAAGGGGTAGGTTTTCACATAATGTCATAAATTTACACACGCATACACACAAATCCAAGCTGAGCCTTTGATGCTGTGGAAGAGAATTTAAACATTTTAAAACATCAAACTAAATTTACATTAACTGAGGTATGGCTAAAAAATAAAAATAAAATAAAAATAGTGCAGTGAATAGAAAATTGCAAAAGAAATCCACGTTACAAATAAACTATAAACACATTTATAATTCATAAACAGTATTAAAACAATTGCTTATGTCATATTAGTTAAAATAACAAAAGTAAGAAAATATGAACAATGCAGAGGTAATTTAAAAAAACAAAAATAAAAAGTTAATAAAATATTTTATCTGCATCAAAATATTCTTTGGAAACCAAAAATAAAAAATGTATCATGTATGTTCTTTCAGGTTGAGCTGAAAAAGTCAGAAAAATACATAGTCCAGGCTATTTGACTTTCTGAAAATGTGGAATTCTAAATATCCCTAAGTATAAAGCAAAAGGCTTTCTGAACTGAAGTGCTGTGCTCCTCCTACAAGTACAAGGAATTCCAGTTCCATTCCTATCAAAAAAAACGTTTTTGCTTCAAACTGAAACAAATGACCTGACTTTTCATACAGAGTGAGTCCAGCCAAAGTTGTGACGGAAGATTTTTCTCCAGAGCTCTGAAGACACCTGTAGAATCTCCTGAGGGAAAAGAATGCTTTCTGGCAAGGCCTAGATCAGAGTTATCCAAAGCGAAACTTGAGTCTGTATTTCACTGTATTGGGACTTTTGCGAGGTGTAGAGAGTGGAACCTTTGGCTTGACAGGGGTAGGTGGCTTTTTCTTTTCAGGAACAGTAACAGTGAAAGAAAGTTCGGGCTGCTCAGACTGCTTGAATCTTGGTAGAAAGTGGGTGGAGATGTGCTGGGGTTTGACCCGAGGACTGCAACCCCGTTTAGCTTTGCCTCGTTTATTCAGGGCCACATACCACTCCCGCCCTGTCCTTTCAGTTCTGTGGGTTGCCGAAGCATAGGTATTATAGCTGTTTTCTTGAAATCGCTCCCTGAACTTGCAGTCATCTGTAAATTTGGCCTAAATGGAGGAAAAAGAGAAAATTTAACTTGCAATATTTTCAGCATGTAATGAAATATGATGTCTCATACCAAAAAAGAAAAACCAAGAATTCTATTGATCTCTCGCTCTCCTACTTTATTCCCTTTTATAAAAACATATTTGCTTCTTTTTAAGTTGCTTTAAAATTCCTGTTTTTATCTACATATTTCTTCTTTATTCATCTTTGTAACTATGATTTCTGTTCACAATGTACTTGGTGACACAATGTTAATATATGTATTCTAATGATAACTTGAACTCTTCATTTAAACATTAAGAACTCCTAATACATTAAAACATTGTTACTATTTAAATAAAACTTTGACATTTATAGTTGATTTTTTTAAAAATCATATAGATAAAAATCTGTAGATAGGATTTCCCCCCCTCTAGGTCACCAAGAAAATAAATAGAACTATACTATTAAGAAACAATTGCCTAGTAAAACATAAATTTGTGTTTGGAGAAATGGGGTCAAACTGTCCCTTTGAAACAAGCATCCATTTTCAATGTTATCAGTGTAATTCATGCTGCTGAGTGAGGAGTAGCATATGGCCCTATTAATATTGCATGTGTTAAGAGATCTTTCGGAAAAATATAGCTTTAAACATGTGATACAAGAGAGTGTAGAAAGAAAACCATACTGGAGTCAGTATTAACACCTTAGCCAAATCTTACACACACGCGCGCGCACACACACACACACACACACACACTATCTGACCTTGAAATGTTCACACAATAGTGGAGAAGCAAACAGACAGACATCATCATGGTGCAGCTTAATAAGTGAAATTATGAGTAGAAAGTCTTCAGAGGTTACAATGACAACTTAGAGGAAAGGCATCTAAGAGGGCAGAGGTGAAGGGAAGAGGGCAGAAAGTCTTCCTGGAAAGCTGACATTTGAGCCGATGTCACGGAGGCAGGTGAAATGAGAAAGAATTTTCCGGGAGCAGGAACAGTATGTTCAAGGGTCAGCGTCACATTTTGAATACCTATTAAGCAGTTTGGTGTGACTTCCGTGTGGGAGGCATGAGGGAAAAAACAAGAGACAAGGCTGACAAAGTAGATCAATACCAGACCAGAAAGGGCTTGGTTTGCTGAACTAGGGTTGGAAGGAGTATGGTAGGGGAAAGAGTGTGAGCGTCGGGCCAGACATGCTACCAAATACCAATTCTGCCACTGGAGCTCTTAGCCTTAGGCCTCTTGTCCACAAGCCTTACCCCACAGGGCTACTGTGAAAATAGAAATATATTAGTAGGAAAGGGATCTTTACCTTTCATCGAACTCAAGAGTCCATAATCTTCAAGGAATTAAGAATGTGTCTACCAGTCTAAATTCCTACATTTTATGGTTCATGGAGCTCCATGGCATAGAATACTGGGGTTAGAAATACCAAATATTTTGTCCCCCATATATAAAAACACAAAAAGCTGTGCATTTCTATTTCAGGCAAGATGTTCTATGCTGGAATAAAAGTGTCCTTTGCTCTTGGTTTTTCTAGTAATGTCAAACTTTGCAATGTAGATCATAACACCATAACCCAAAAGTCCAGATAATGCAAAGCAATTTACTAGGCACACTGTTGAAGTACTCATGGACTTGTGGACTTGTACTGACAATTACAGAAGACAACCTGGATCAGAGCATTTACAACAGCACATTTATCTTATGTACAACACTCACCAGAGCTATTTACATTTAAGTGCAATACAGCTCCTTATTTCCAGGCTATGAAGCTATATACCTAGGTCTTCTCCACGTCTTCTGGTAGATCTCCTGGATTTGATCTCCAGCAGGCTAGGAGCAGGTGTGTTAAAAGAACCACCTCAACGTGTGGATTTTCTCTCTTTCTGCCTTACAACGCACTAGCCTATGCCTAGGCTAAGAGTGCAAGGATGATGTCACTTTAGAAATCATAGTTATTGTTCTCATTTTTTATTTAAAAGATCTTCTTACAAGTTAAATATGTGTATATATATATATATCTGTCTATAGCTGCTGCTTAGCTCTTAAAATGGCTCTTCCATTTAATTAGATAATCTTAAAGTTTTATTTTAAAATAAAAATTGTAGCCATCTGGAATATTTCCGGCTCCTGAACAGGACAAGCATTTTAGAAAGGCAAAGAGCATTTCATTAAAAAGAGAATAGGGGCTGGGCCCATAGCTTAGTGGTTAAAGGGACGGAGGTGGAGAGTTTTTCTTAAAAGATAGCTGTATAACTTTTTTGAATATGTATAGATAATGCATTATATTATGTACTATGTATATATACAACATTATAACTTGACCTGACTTTTACCTCTGTTTTATAAAAATAACAGTAATCGCTTTATCCAATGTTGACAGATTTTTAAAGGTATTACATTATTTAACCTTGTTTATCCTTATGTTAAAGAACATGTAGTTTTTCAGTTAATGTGGCTGATGGTCACACACACACACACACACACACACACACACACACACCATCACACACCATCACATATTTTCAAAAAATGTCAATTCCATCTTAAAGTGTTTCAGAATAGTGAAAAATTTAGCTACCCCACCCACTAAAATTGCTCTATCTAAAAAATGTTCTCTTTTTTTCCTCAAGATTCTTATTTTTTAAGTTCTTTCTTAGAAGGAGCCTTTTTAGGAGGAGGCTGGTCAGACTATCAATTTTTCAAGGGTTATCTAATTGTCCCACAGAGTAGAGATATATTCAGAATGCTAAGGACCCACACACTCACAGCCCCTCAGCCACCCCAAAGCCTACATGAAAACAAGAGTAAAGCAGTCAGACTGTTTTGGCTTTCTTAATTGGTTTCTAATTTAATGTTTTGTCTGAAAAAGTCTACTAGCTCTGATGGAACAGAACCATTTGAGAAAACTACTTCAGCTAATTTTTTTTTTTCACCAACAGATCTAGTTTCTTCTTGAAGGACTGACTGATCTTGTCAGCATTTGCAGTCTTGCTCCAATAAGATTGTGACCCTCAGCAGTACATCTTTGCATGTAATGTCATGCCGGGAGCATCTTTATTGCAAAGAGTCACCAAGAAGCATAGGTATTAGGTGTAAGTATTAAAATATATACATTTACCACTAGATAATTTTGCATAATAAAATTTCCAGGCTACTTCTCATATTTAAATTGTCCTTTGACTTTTATAAATTTCTTTAATAAACCATACACTTTAAAATAATAAAGATGCATTATTTCCATAGAAAAATAAGGATGGCATACAGACTTTTTCTGTAGTTAAGATGTAAAGTAGGGAGGTCATCAAATTTCAAATAAGCTACTGAAACCAGAACTCCCATCATTTCGCTTTATTTCAAATATAATTTGAATAAGTATTAATAATAAATATAATAGATATTTATTGACTATGTACACCTAAGCACTATGGTGGTTTCTATCTTTATAGAGGTATGGTCCTTCCCAGGTTATTTGATGATTTACATGATCTGTATTTTGTCTTTAATTTTTCCTTCATCTCTCAAATTACCTTCAACAAGCCATGCTTATAAAATTAAAATAAAATGTTGAAATCAATGAATTTTATGTAGTTTCTTATACTCCAAATTATCAAAACAAATAAAACTTAAACACATTAAACTATGTTTCCTGGAATAACCAAATTACTTCAAGGTAGGGAAGCACACTGCTAAGGGAAACAAGAACTTTTTCATCAGAAGATACTGTCTTTTCCTTTTTTTTTTTCTTTTTTCTTTTGGTGGTACTGGGGATTGAACCCCCAGGGGTGCTCTACCTACATCTCCAGCCCTTTCTTATTTTTACTTTGACACAGGATAACACTGTTGCTAAGGCTGGCCTCAAACTTGTGATCCTCTGGCCTCCACCTCTAGGATTACAGTTATGTACCACTGTGTCCAAACTAAGAATCACTTTCTTGATTCTACTTATCTCTTCACAGTGAAGAATATATTTTAAACAATTAATGTTTTTTAAAAGTTCAAATTCATTTTAAAGAAAGCAAAATTTAAGATTACCTAGGATATTTCAGAAAAGACTATTCTACAAAATTGGAATTAAACAGAGGATCAATTAATCCAAGTAGAAAATCTCTCTAAAACAACATTGTTTAAAAAAAAAAACTCCCTAAAGCCTTAACATAGTTTTGTTCCTTAGTAAATACCATGTTCTATGATGATTGAGAATCTTACAATGAATGAATTGAGGCTCTGCAAATGCCAATTCTTATTTATGTGCAACTATAGAAGTAAACAGGAAGCATATGAAAGTGGTTTGGAGATAGGAGTGAATTTGCATTAATGCCTGTATAAATCATAGACTGTGAAGTTTTCTATTTCACTATTTTTTTCTTTTGATTTGCCTCTTTCTCTTGAAAGAACTTATAAAATTAAGAAATAATCAGCTAAATCTAAATAATTAAAGTGTTATGAACTAACATTATTCACCAATTCAAATGTTATTATGGAGTGTAATAAAAATGATCATTGTTCTCTAAGCAAAGTTTTCTTGCAGCATGCATTACTAGTTCTGGTTTTTATATTTACATTCATTGCTCCTTGATTTCTATCCCTAACCCCACCAATGAGGTTGCCCTGAACAGGTACCCAAAGCCCACTCCATTTTGTATGGTTTTGCTCTGAGGGTTTTGCACCCTCAGGGCTGCTTTTTGCTCTTTACCACCTAAGCCCCACATGGGTCAGTTGTAGCCCTATCCTACCATGATATCTCCAGAGCATGGCCATAATTCCTGCTTGACATTAGACATCTACCCATTCTACATCTCAGTTCTTCCTATTAGACAGCCAAAGAAATATAGACCTGGTTTTAATAACAACCAACATAATAATACAGTGAGGAATACCAACCACAGGATCCTTCTTCTGAACTTCATGAATTACTAAAATTATTAAAGAATCCAGTTCAAAATGCAGATCCTATGAGTTATCTCCAGAGATTATGTTTTAGTAAGTGTGAGGTGAGAGCCTGGGCTTTT